TGACAGAGGAGGAGCTGGGGATGGAGGAGGGTAATTAGCTATTGAGCAATGTGAAAACTGCTGATAATACTGAGGGACCTTATATATGAATGCTTAGATAGGTGTCGTATTCCTATAGGTTGATGGGGATCAGCTGAGAGTCAGTTGATGCGAGCTTGACTAACGTGACCTGCCAGAACTAATGCTACGCTAGATTTTTAGGAGTAGAACAGCTTATCATTGGGGCAGTATGACAAAAAGGATTATTTTGATTAGAAAAAAAAAACATCAGCAACTCTTTTCAGACTTTTCAAATTCAACCCAAACTTTTTGTCCACTGTGTGACTGGAGGTATAAAATGTATTAATGCATCTTCAGTAGGCGCACTAAATCTTCCACACTGCTCTAAATGATGTCTAAAGCATCCTTGACCAGGTAATGAAATACTCAGTATTATCAAACCTGTGCACAAAGAGAATATTGCAATGCTAATGAAGAAATAATTAGCGTGCTGGTTTGGAATGAAAAGGTGCAGGATGTTTCTGGAGGGCAAATGGCATTTCAAAGCTTTGTGTTTGCAGGCAGTGTAGGGAACGAAAGATGCGATGCCTTAGTGTGACCAGCAGATGGAGGAAATGACATGTATAGCGCAGTTGTTCTCAACTCTGGTCATCTATATGTATTTCTTATTTGACACACCCAGATCAATTAACACAGCTCTCTGCTAACATGATGTTGATTTCCATCTGGTGTGTAAAGAAGAAAGACACTCAAAATTGCTGTGGGTCTCCAGAACCAGAATTGTGGTGGAAGCTCTGATGTAGCGGAAAGGTGTCAAATACTCACCACTGAGGAAATTGTAGATAATTGGATTGGTGGCGCTGTTGGCGTATATAAGCCAGTGTGAGAAGGTGAACCAGGCATAGACAGTCTCTCTGTTGTCTGTGTTCTTAAAAGCGCCAAATACTCTACAGACAGGTGGACAAAAACATAAAAAAAGCAACCATCAAAAACAGCTTCTAAAATTTTGAATAAATAGAGCGTTTATTATAGAGCTGGGGCTTTCAATTTGGACCCTCCTCTGAAAGACCTTAAAAGGAGCAGATTTTCATAGGCATGTTATTACAGCCTTCAGTTCAGTCAAATACATACCTTCTGCAAAGCATCTTAAACTAGTGAGGGGAAAATACTTGTCCATGCTAATATGTTGAATTATTTCAAAAAGCATTACTAGACCATAATTCATTATAGATATAGATTCTTGGTTTGAACAGAATTCAGAGTACAAAGGGCTGCATAATTAACAGATGCTAACTGAGCAGTCTGTCTCATGCCTTAAAGAACATTTTGCCTCACATCACTCATAACAATGTATTACATCACTGTAAGAACTACTACTTTTACACTACTATATGAAGCATTTTTAAAAAAGCAAATTTTTTTATATATTAAGGCCAACCAGTAAGGTTGTTTAGTTTTTCCATTTCTTAAAACCTTACGGCTTGTAAGGAGGAATTAATCCGAAAGGACCTGAGATCCTAGAGTTGAACCCAGTGGTGTATAACACAGTAATAATACTTCATTACAGTACTTAAGTATTTTTTGGAAGAATCTGTACTTTACTGGAGTTTTTATATTTCTGTCAACTTTCACTTTTACTCCACTACATTTCCAAATTAAAATGTATACTTTCACGCTGATACATTTTCCCGAAGCATATTTGTTACTTACTACAAAATAAAGTTGAAAGAACACGGACTGCAAGAAAACAGGTTTGACGAATCAGTGGTCTGGTGCTTGCAAGTTAGACTTCTAAAAAACACCTTTGCTCATGTGCAAACAAGTGCTCACACAACCGTGGATTATTTCATTTTCCACTCAAGTCGAGGCTGGGGTGTGCGGTATCCAGTATATCGTCTGTGATAATATGGTAAGTGTTGTTTTAATAATGTGCGATCTGACATGATCGAGTATATCATGAAAACACACAGAGACAGTGCATGCACACACTACATGATTCAGTCTATGTTTGTACGTGACTTTTTTTTTTTTGTCATTTTTGTAGGTGACAAAAATGCCTCTTTATGTTTTTTATATTTATATAATTTAATATAGTTAATCTATATCACACGAAGAGTGCTTTGTTTCTCTCCAGATATCAGCATGATAACAAATGTAATATTGATTTTATTCACGTTTAAAGTTAGCATAAAGTGACTTACATTTTAGACACAATATTGCCTATTTTTTCTCAATTTTGCCTATGAAAATAGTTCTATAGTAAAATAGTTTTGTGTCTGAACAACACAAGGGATGGTGTTATCTTATTGAATTAATTAGCTTTTTGAACGAATTGGTTGAATTAATGATTCAGTGACTCACTCAACTCTAAAAATGCTTTGTTTCTGAATGAATCAGCCATTTGAATTAATCGATTGAATCTCAATGACTCACTCATTAAGAGTCACTTACTGTCACCTACTGCCGTTTTCAATTTCGCATTTCAATTTCGTTGTGACTTAAACTTCTACCAAAGTCATTTTCTGGTAAGATATCTGTACTTTTACTTAAGTGTGGCTTTCAGGTACTTCATCCACCACTGAATCTACATCCAGTCTATAATACCTTATGAATGTGTGCGGAGAGGACCAGCCAGCCAGAACACAAATGTCCTGCAAGGGTGCACCCTTGGCTAAAGCTTTCGAGGAAGACACACTCCGGGTGGAAGTTTATTTAATTAATGCATGTTAAAGAAATTTGTGTAAAATACAGAATGTAAACATGCCAGATTATAGCAACATTGCTAATTTACATCTTCAGACCCTTGGCAGGTGTACACAAAAACACATACCCAAATATACATACAATATCACATAGAATTTCTAAGTAAAATAGGAGGAGTCTTAGACACCTGGAGATCAAGCCATACTGGGCACCTCATAGGCAAAAGCAATAGCATCCAAAACCAGTGAGATATTGGCTGCTTGGAGATGGGGGAACCCCTGCCCAGCCTCTAAAGCTGACCAACAGCATCACATCAGATTTACGACATGTTTCTGTGCTATCAATGTAAATCCTGAGGGCCCTGGAAAGGACACAAGAAATAAAGCCTTTCATGCCAAATGGCAAGAGGCTCAAATAGAGCACCTGATAACCCTTCCAGGACTACGGAAAGATCTCAGGAAGGAACCCACAGCCTGCAGATAGGCCTAAGGAGGAGATAAGATACTAGGGGATGCCTCCTCACGGGCTTCATTGATGTGACTGCAGCAAGCAGAAATTGCATCCCCATACACTTTAAGTGTGGCGGGCGATAAACCTGCTGAAAGGCACTGCTGTAAAAACTTCAGCTCTGAACCTTTCAGGCAATGGACTGGGTCATCATGGTGCTGTACATGCAATTGTTCAAAAAGATGCCACTTTAGGGCAAACAGTTTTCTGATCGAGGGAGCTCTAGCCTTCAGAATGGTCTCAACAACCTCAGTTGAGAGTCTGGAATCTATGAGCTGGTACTCCTCAGGGCACAGACCTATAGCTTTCCTATTTTGGGCTGGGGTGAAATATTGTGCCCTGGGCCTGGGAGAGAAGATCCCTCTGATTGGAATCTCCCAAGGACAGCCTTCCAGGAAAGATCTTGGGCCTGAGAACCATACTCAAGCTTGCCAAAATGGAGCAAATAACAATATGAACTGTCATGATGAACTCTAGCTAGAACTCCCAGGAGCAGAGCGAATGTGGGAAAAGCATACAGACATAGCCTATAGCCATGTCTGTACCATATATTTCAGCCCCAGTGGAGCTGGAAGTGTGAGTGCGAACAAAATCAGACAGTGGGTTGACTCCTCGGAGGCAAACAAGCCTACTTCTGTCCAGCCAAACCTCTCGTCGAGGTGGAATCTTCATTCCCTGGGCCTCAGCCCCTTCTTCGACAGGATGTCTGCTCCCAAATTCAAATGCCCTGGAATGTAAATTGTCCTCAGAGAAATCAGTATATCTTGCACCCAGAACAGGATCTGCTGCACCAACCTGAACATGGGGTGTGAACACAATCCTTCCTGGTGATTTATATAAGAGAGTACCGCCATGTTTTCTGTCTGCACCAACATGAGGTTACCTGTCAGATGTGGGAGAAAGTACCTGAGAGCCAGAAATTCAGCCTTCATCTCTAGGCAATTTATGTGCCAGAGGAGATGCCAGCCTTCCCAGGCCCCCTGGGCTGGGCGACCATCCACTCTGCCAAATACTGAGAGAGAAGAATCAATTTCTCGATTATCGACTTGTGGTATGGGGGTTATTTGTTCAGGAGTCTGAATAGGCGTACCGGCAAGCAAACCCCGAATTTCGTTTACTAGAAATCAGTTGAGACAAGAGTGCCCAGTCTGCTTGAGGAGAGCAAGCATCTTTAAAGGGGTCATCGGATGCCCATTTTCCACAAGTTTATATGATTCTTTAGGGTCTTAATGAAAAGTCTATAATATACTTTGGTTAAAATTTCTCAATGGTAGTGTAAAACAACACCCTTTTTACCCTGTCAAAAACAGCTCTGTTCACAGCGACCCGTTTCAGTGCATGTCCCTTTAAATGCTAATGAGCTCTGCTCACCCCGCCCCTCTCTTCCGTGAGGTGACGAGCCGTTCTCATGAGACTGTGGCCACATTTAGCCGTGGTACTTGCTAACTAGCACATTATTAGGAAAGGCGATTTGCAAAGATTCATAAAAAAACCTTATACTCTTCTCTAGGTAAAGCTGGATCACAAATGATTTGTGAAAATATAAACACATTTAGGTAGATCGGGAGCGCATTCCTTTCAAAAACAAAGTTCATTCTCAGCAGCTCAGATGTCGGGAGTAAATGATGACTGCTATGTTCATTATTACATCCAACAACAAAACACCTCAATCGCTTAGGAGCCATTTTTGTCTACACCTGCTCTGGCGAGAAAGAGTGTGCCATGCCATTCATAGGCAGTTTCTATACTGATTTGACACTGGACGGATATTCTGCCAGGGATTGCCGTGCCCGAAACACCAGAGGTGGCAGGGGGAGCAGAAAAATTCCCCAAGAGCTTCAGGGAGGAGATAAGACATGATGTACCAGTCTCTCCATCTCCCCCTGGAGCTGGCATGGCCATGACTGTCAGGCCTGTTTGTTTTTGGCCACCCTCATGGTAATGATGGTTCTTAAAGGGATAGTTCACCCAAAAATTAAAATTACCCCATGATTTACTCACCCTCAAGCCATTCTAGGTGTATATGATATTCTTCTTTCAGACGAATACAATCGGAGTTACATTAAATAATGTCCAGGCTATCCCATGCTTTATAATGGGAGTGGATGGTAGCCCAAAATTTGAAGTCCAAAACAATTGTACCCATCCATTATAAAAGAAGTCCACATGGCTCCGGGGGGTTAATAAAGGCCTTCTGAAGCGACGCGATGCGTTTGTGTAAGAAAAATATCCATGTTTACAACTTTATAAACCTTAATCTCTAGCTTCCGCTAACTGTCGTACACTCGTTCACGACAGAGTGGCATCCAGCGGATGACGTAGCATGTAGGCATAGCATAAGCTCCGGTGAGAATATGCTAGTCTCTCGAGAAACAAGTTTTGTTTACAGCAAAGGAAAACCAGTGTCCTCTTGGCTTATATCGAAATCCTCCGACCTTTTTCTTTACAAATCCTCATTTTGTACTACTAATTCGTGACCAGTGTTTTGTTTCGCTCTCTCCTCTGCGTTTCCACGTTTGTCACCGCGTTTGACTATGTGCTACGTCATCCGCTGGACGCCACTCTCTCATGAAAGCGCGTACGACAGCTAGCGGAAGCTAGAGATTAAGATTTATTAAATTGTAAATATGGATATTTTTCTTACACAAACGCATCGCGTCGCTTCAGAAGGCCTTTATTATGGAGCCGTGTCGACTTCTTTTATACTGGATGAGTACAATTTTTTGGACTTCAAATTTTGGGCTACCATCCACTCCCATTATAAAGCATGGATTTGCCTGGACATTATTTAATATAACTGCAGTTGTATTCGTCTGAAAGAAGAATGTCATATAAACCTAGGATGGCTTGAGGGTGTGTAAATCATGGGGTAATTTTCATTTTTGGGTGAACTAACCCTTTAAATCGGGCTGATGCTTGGATGACTGTGTGTGACTAATTTCTGAAGACACACACATCCCAATGCTACACCCTATTTTGTAGCCCCCCCCCAGTATTTCACAAAATAACACACACCATATATGTAAAAACGACATATTTATTTGATGTATTGTTTTGTACTTATCGATACTATCATGTTATTTGTTGAGTTCAGTGATATTCTGGGTTGCTAGGCTGCAAAACCAAATGGAGCGTGTGCAGGACACAAGATTACGATGAGTTTGTTTTGTAGTCCAACCGGATGTCCGCCGAATCTTAAATCCACCAAAGTTAATCTACTCTCCTGTCTGATTTGTTTGTCAGCCAGAATGGCAGATTCGGCATTATGATTGGTCAGATCGCCTGTCAATCAAACTCCCTGCAAAGGGTCAATTGTAGTGCCATGTGCAACTCAGCTCGTTAGTAAGGAGTGGTTACGTGTTAATTTTGAGTTCCACTCGAAAAGGAACTAATGTGGATCACAGTCGAGAATAATCACAAAACAATCCTCATGAATTGGCATTAGAATGGCATCACAATCCAAAACATTAATGGTCTAATAAATAGGCTTTGTAGCCTTTTTTTGTTACTTTTATTACCCAGCTTTGTTTCTGACAGACGTTTTGAGGTTTACACATAGGGACAGAGGAGGTGTAAGCATAATTGATGTTTTATAAGCACATGCACTACCTCAGCCAAGTATCATAGTGCTTACCTCTTCATGATGTTGAGAACACTGATGGGCAGGTAACAGAGTGCAAACACAAACAGCACCACCATCAGCATGCGTGCTGTCTTCCGTCGAGCTTTAACCTGTTTGATCTCCGCTGAGACGGTGCTGCTTCTCACCTTCACCGATTCTCCCGAGCCTACAGCATGGGCGGAACACTGCAGAGACTTCCATTTCCTTTGAAGCACCGATGATGTTCCAGGAATCTGTTCAGGGATAAAGCACTGTGTTATAGGTTATGGTGCAACAATTCTGACCCATTAAACTGTCTATATAGCCACATTTTCAGCAATGTATACAAAAGTAAAGACTTTAGATTTGTGCAGTTGGTAGTAAACAAAAGCAAACTTAGCACTACCAAATCCAAAACCTATTCAAGCTAAATTCCACCTTACAATGCTACATCAGCATGCGCATATATTAGCATGCACATATATTGTCATTCATGAATGCAGTTAAAATGCAGTTAACTTTAAGTGTGAAGTCAAAAACACTGACATACCTGTTGACACCAGAGTTTGTGACAGATCTGGATGTATGCCAGTACCATCAAACATAATGGAGCAAAATAAGTGACAATAAAGAAGCAGGTGTGGTAAACTTTAGGGTAGATTTCATCTGCAGAAGAAAGAATCAAACAACAAAAACAACATCATATATGTTGTAAAACAATGTATAATAAGAGTGCTGTATTGACCATTCAGCATCCATTATTTCAACTAGAATCTAATCGCTCAGTGGAGACTTACACTTTCTTGAACATTCAAACTGAATGTAACAGGCTTGGACATTATTAAACCTTATCAAATGAATATCTACTTTTTTTAATCATTTCTATATTATGTTCAATATCATGATATTAAACCTAGTTACATCCATTGCTCAAAAATGTGAAAAGGCAGACTCATTTCACTTTATAAAAGCCTTCATGTTGGGTTTTATGCATATGAATTATGTTAATGCAATTCAGAGCACAATAGATTTTATCATGTTCCTTTGCTCAAAAAGAATAGTTCATCCTCTGGACCAGAGGCTTTCAAGCTTAAAGGGTTATTCCACCCCAAAATGAAAATGTTGTCATTAATTACTCACCCTCATGTTCCAAACCCATAAGACCTCCGTTCGTCTTCGGAACACAAATTAAGATATTTTTGATGAATTCTGACAGCTCTCTGACCCTCCCATAGACAGCAATGTAAGTAACACGATCAAGGTCCAAAAAAGTAGCAAGGAGATCGGTAAAATAATCCATATGACATCAGGGGTTCAACCATAATTTTAGGAAGCTACGAGAAGACTTTTTGTAAGAGAGCTCTCAGAATGCATCAAAAATATCTTAATTTGTGTTCCGAAGATGAAAGGAGGTCTTATGGGCTTGGAACGAAATGAGGGTGAGTAATTAATGACAGAATTTTCATTTTCGGGTGGAGTACCCGTTTAAAGATAGTCCCTATATATTCCAAGTCTTCCAAAACCATAGAGTAAAGGAATACCTGAAAATTCGAATGGTTTCCACTACAAATACCATTACAAACATTACAAACTATCAACTTTTAACCATTTAAACCATTAAAAAATGGTTTTCTTTAGTGTGTTCTTTTTAGTTTTGGGACATATTCCATTAGGATTTATTGGTTTTAACAAGCCACCAATAGAAGGCGACCAATTACCAGTAGAGACCCATAGGGACCATTACAGTTTCCATTAAAACCAATACAACTCCAGTTATAACCAGTAAAACCATTACAAATGTTGTGATAGTGTCTATTGTTTTGTTTTTTTTTTCAGCAGGGATCGTTCACCCCAGAATGAAAATGTTGTCATCATTTACTCACCCTCATGTTGTTCCAAACCTGTATAAGTTTCTTTCTTATGTTGAACACAAAAGAAGATATTTTGAAGAATGCTGGTAATCAAACAGTTGTTGGCCCCCATTGACTTACATAGTGGGGGGGGGGGATACTGTGGAAGTCAATGGGGGCCATGACCTGTTTGATTATCAGCATTCTTTAAAATATATTGTTTTATGTTCAACATAAGAAAGAAACTTATACGACATGAGTATGAGTAAATGACAACATTTTCATTTTGGGGTGAACCATTCCTTTAATAAGAACCGATTTTAAATCCTTCACTCAAAATATTATACCAATTTGGTAACAAAATCATTCAGATCAGTTTTGTGAATTAGATCAGTTTATTTAAGATCAACTTATTGATTGAAAATAAATATTTCTCTCATGAATACTTCTCAAACGAACGTACCAAGAATACAGTATCAAAGGCAGTTATTTCAGTGAAACCAGTCTCGGGCAAGATTGTTCTTTCTTTTTTGAAAAATTGAAAAACTTGTTACACAGGTTTCTGTTTGGAAAATATTTGCACTTAAACTGTAGAAGTTACAATATGTATCATTACTGAAAATGTGTGGGGAAAGTTAACAGGGACAACTGTACGTATCCACAAATTTTCAGTTTTATGTTGCTGAAAGCCTCAGGCACTATTCATTGTAACTGCACGGAAAAAAAGTATTTGGAAGACAGAAAGCTATACCTTTTTGGAGTGAAATGAACAAATGATGAATATTTCATACACTAGATTTTTATTTCTAATCTTTGCATAAACCATTTGATTTCAGCTCATGCTTTAGCACTATTAATTATATATATATATATATATATATATACATACATGCATTTTGCGACCATTTTTTCTGCCGGTGAGAGTAAATTTTGTGAGCGGTCAACTCATAAGCGCTGCCATTTCTGTTGTATATGAGAAACATAAAACGGCAAACGAAACAAAAGCGTTGTAGCATTTGGACCAATCAGACACACATTTGTTCTTTAGATTCATCAAATCAATTATTCATTAGATTAACAAACAATCACAGACCCCACTCTTCTCTAATTAATTCATAGGAAAACCTTTCTTTGAATGAACACACATATACTTCAGGTCATTGTGTATGTTTTTACTGTTCTTGTATATTGTCTTTTGTATTGTATACTGTTGTATGCATGCTAATGATAGAACCACTCATTCATGTAACCTTACATATACTATGTTTGGTCTCTATGAATTCGTCTTCGGATAATCTAATTGAGAGTGTATATTATATGTTTATACCTATGCAACATTTTGGTGTTCTAAGAATCTTTAGTAGTTTTTGTGTCAACACCCAATCAAATTACATATGCAAAATACCATGCTCAGACCTTAAAAGGCTCACGCACAGTTCTGCCCAGGTTGTTTTTCTTCTGCTAAGTCTTCTGCTAAAACCTTCTGATTGTGGCCCATGTGGAGAGCCTGAGCCGGTGTGGGCGTGCCCGGTGGGCTCCAACACATAGCCAGTCAGTCTGCGGTTCGGTTAGATTCTGAGAAGATGAGGATGTGAGCTAGAACGCTTCTGCAACTCTTAAATCTGCATCAGGCCTCGGCCTTGACTTTCCATTCACCAAAGCTCCTAGGAACTCAGCTGATGTCTCTCTTAGCTCTTTTTCGCTTTCCACTGGG